GAATAAATCTTGATAGAATCTACAAGCAGGGGACCTGCATGGTAGAAATCCTGAGTTAGTGAAGTAGTATAGCCTTCTGACAGAACTACATTTGCTAAAGTCTAATTTGAAAAGAAAACTTAGTCTAATAAAGGTAGAAGGTTTCGAGGTCTCTAGGTGAAGGGTAACTGGAACTAGCTAGATACTAGAAAAGGACTAAGTTGACTAGCCAATAGAGGATCACAGTAGAATCTGAAGTTGTATGAACATCTACAAGAGTCTAAGCTAGGTGAATCTATAAAATAGGTACAGACTGCTCTAGTAGGTTTGCTTTGAGGTTAACTAGCTCTGTAGTACTAATAATATATTTGGTACAATATATTCTAAGAGGACCTAAGCCATTTGAATAAATAGATCCGTAACAAGCTAGCTAGCTTAAGTAGTTAGATGTTGCAATGATATTAGGTTTGATCTGTATGGGTTAATGAACAGAGTGTTTAAATAGATAATTTACAAGCAGGTTACAGGTATAGCAGCATAGTGTAGAACTAATCGAGTGACCTAATGTCTATGCGGTGGACTACTTAAAATAGATAATGACTAAAGTTGTACGTGTAGCTTATTATATACTTTTTATATAATTACAAACAGTAGGAATTATTAATGTATAATCCTGTTGACAATTCTAATAAAATTCTTTTGTCAATATAAGCTGCCTTAACAACAAAAAAAAAAAAAAGATTAGTTAAAGTTTTTATTTTTTTTTTTGAAATTTCTGATTTGGTTAACTAATAATCATATAACAATATATATATTATTTATATTTATTAACTAATCAAATTAAAAATAGTAAATAACTAGAAATAACTCAAATAATCCAAATAACTAGTAACTAGTTATTAGATTATTTCATATTCAAATAATTTATAAAAAGTCATTTAATATTTGCTAACTAATAATCTAATCTCTTTTAACTAATCAAAATTAATTATTAAACAAAAAACATTTTTATTTTTTATTTTTTTTTGTTATTAAAACAGCTTACATTGTCAAAGAAATTTTATTAGAATTGCATATGAGATATATATTGATAGTCCCTACTGTTTGTAATTATATGAAGAGTATACAACAAGCTACATATACAACTTTAGTCATTATCTAATTTAAGTAGTCTGCTGCATAGATGATTAGATCACTCAATTGGTTCTACACTATGCTGCTATACCTGTAACCCACCTGTGAGTTATCTATTTAAACACTCTGTTCATTAACTCATACTAGAGATGGTAAATAACCAGATCATTTAATTATTTTTTAAATGATCTCAAATGACTTTTAAATGACCTGGTCATTTGAGGTTATTTGAATTTTAGTCATTTGTAAATAACTCAATGACCAAATAACCCAGGGTCATTTGGTCATTTGGTTATTCTACATGAATTAACTTACATTTAATTTGACAATATATATGTAACATTATATTGGTAAGGTACTATAATACAATTAGTTAAATATTAAACTTATCAGCAGATATGTACATATTGATTATGCATAAAGTGTACAGTACGTACATACGGTATAGCATACTTGAAAATAAATATTTCCTAAATTATTAACTCCAAAGTACAGTTCTTATCATTATCCTCTTAAATTATTACTTACCTGAGATTTAATATCGACATTGTAAGAATTTTGTCTTTAATGAAGGAGAGTACATACATATTATGGTAATATGAAAAATTTATAGTAAGTTTGGATTTGGTTAAGAACTAGTTCAGAGGGTCTGTTACACTAAATACGTACTTTTGAAATTTATTTACATAGAAAAAATATGCCAAAAATAAATATAAACTAATATATAGTAATTATTCTATACTTTAATATATCGCTATTGAGAATAATAAATTTATATTTTTAGATTTAGATTTCTTGCATAATTTGGAAATATTTATTTTCAATATATTACTAATTTATGCATAAAAAGATTGAGGTTTTTTAGATTTCTTGTATCGTACGCATGTATGTACATATATTATCGGTATATAAAATGGAAGAATTTGAATTTGATTCTTTCCAGTTCAAAAGTATGAGATAAGTATATACGTACGTACATAATATGAAATTATTAATAAGGCACTGAAGATTTTAAAAGGGTGTCATTAGTATAAGAATAAAAGAGAAAGTTATCACAAGTCGAAAGAGGATGATGATATTATCATAAGTATTATTAGTTCTATGAATATCGAAATGCAAATTAAAGACAAATATTAAAGTAATGTAATTTACCTTATTGATGCAATAATATAAATCTTAGGACCAGAATAATCAAGATTTTTTTTCTCATGCCATAATAATAAAGAAGCAAGTTTGATATTAGAAATTCTCATACAGTCTTTAAATAGACATGAGCATAGGCTCATAAAAATCATATTGCATTAGTTGAATAATTGAGAATTAAATTAGTTATATAAAAAAGAAAAATTGAAAAAAATAAACAAAAAAAAAACTATTACCCAATAGTGATAACTGAATAAATAATTGTTCAATAGAGTCTTACAATAGAATTTTTTTTTATCTCTAGTACATATATGAGTAGATTTCATACTAAACACTTATAAATAGGATATCAGAGGGTGTTTTTTTTTTTTTTTTTTTTTTTTTTTTATACCAACTACCTTTACTATAGTCAAAAGGAAGTACAATTTTTGAGAATTTTTTCATTTAATTGCACCTGATAACCCAAAAGCAAATAAAAAGCAGTATATTTTTCATATATATGAAAGTATACTTTACCTGTTGCTCTTACAAGGTCTGAATGCTTTGTTTCTAATAAAGTGAAATTATGTCAGGACCATCTTTGAAATCATGAAAATTTTAAAGCTAATTATAACGAGGATGAAATTATGGAGATTCTTGCATGATCAGTTTCTGAGGATAGTAAAAAAAAAAGAAGCAAAGGTAATTATATAAACTATATATATTTGAACGATTGTTTATATATTTTTATATATTATTCTAATTACTTTCCAATAAAATCATGATAGCTGAAGTTGATTCTGAGTTTGAAAATGAGGTTTCTGAAACTTTTACATCTAATTACAAATTCATTTCGAATATCAATAGGCAAATGACACCTGCTAATTATATTTCACGTCTGTTATCTGAGAGAGACAAATTGTATTTTGAAAACTTGTTGCTACATATGATAGTATCAAATGGACTTTCTTTTACCAATATAGAGAATCAGAAAACGTAAGATGTTTTCAATTTTATTATGCCAAATTTAAAGCTACCTAATTGTCGAGTAATAAGTGATTAAGTTCTTCCAAAGATTTTAATAAACTTAAGTAAAGAAATTTTACAGCAAGCATACGTGAATAAAATTAGTATAACCTTGGCCTTTGATAGTTGGATGAACATTAAGTAGGAGCATCTTTTTGGTGTCATTCTGATCACTTCTCAGAGTAAACCTTTGATTTGGAATGCATGTAATGTTAGTGATCAATAATCAAAAACTGAAAATGTTAAACTTCTTATTAAAAATGTAATAGATGATGTAGAAGAAAAAGGTATAAAAATAAACTGTTACATATCCGATTCTGCTAGTGAATATGCAGCTACAAAGTAAGTTTTAATATTTATAAATATACTACAAGTCTTTAGAAATTACAAATAAATAAATAATTTATTATAGATAACAGTTATGAATTGAATATTCTGATAAAATATTTATGCTGTGCATGGCTCATCAAGTAAATCTAGTTGTCAGCGATATTTTTAAAGAATCTGATATATATAAAAAAGCATCAAAAAATGCAATACATATTGTGAGTTTTTTTTATTCATCTCTATACTTTACTAGTTTATTACGAAATAAGCAAATGTCATATTATAGACAAACTATTTCCCTTGCTACCCTATCTGAAATGCAGTAGAATAGTTTTTACTTTTGTTTTCATTCCGTTTTGAAAAGTGAAGCTACACTTAAAGTAAGTAATTAATAAATAAAGTACACTAGTAGAAAGAATATTTTTACTATATTTTAACAATTAACATTTTATATAATATAATTAGACTTTGGCTACAAAGCTTTCGTCTGTAAGAATTGAAACTGCTAGTACCTCTTGAAGTAAGCTTTCATAGCAACAATTTGTATCTGAAGATACTGATGCAAACAAAGTACTTTTGCAAGATATTATATTAATCCTACAGGATTCTAACTTTTGGAATCAGCTCTACGAACTTCAAGATCTGTTATTTCCCTTGTGTTGTATGTTAAATAAACTTCAAAAAGATGTTGTAAGACTACACGAAATTATATACTATTTTGGATAGCTTATCAAAATTTTTGCAAACCATAGAGATAAACATTTTTCAGAACCTATGATAGCACATTTGAAGAATCAGTAGGATCAGTGGGAACAACTTTTACTTTTATTATCATTTATTTTACATTCAAAATATCAGCTTTCAAAGTTTTCTGCTAATGCTTCTAGTCTTTCTTATACACATTTCACTCAGTGGTTAAATTATTACTATTATGTATAGTTTGGAAAAATGCTAACACATATTTTACGTAAATTTTTATTATATCAGAGAGAGGATTTTCCTTTTAATAAAGAAACATATGATCAGTTCGAAAATGTCGTTGATTTTTGGGAAATAGCAAAGGGCTTAGTATCAGAATTATCTCAGCTAGCATTGCAACTATTCAGTATATGCATTAATTCAGCTTCAGTAGAATGATTATAGTCAACTATGAGCTTTTTATATACAAAGAATCAAAACTATTTATCAGTAACTTTTTTTTTTTTTTTGTAATTTATTTTTAATTTAATTTAATCTTATTATTTTACATTAAAGTTTGAAAAAGTGCTAGCGATGAGTCAACTGCGTAGTGACATATTAAGTAAAAAAAAATATGCAGAAATTGAAAAAGCTGAATTACAATACAAAAGAACTTACACAGTAACCTTTGTTCAACCTTATGATGATGATAATAGAATGCAAAAATTACTAGATTCTTTATCTTCTACAAGTAATAATGAAATGCATCTATCAACTGAGCCAAAAGAAACAATTGAAACTGATGAAGACATAGTCAATGATACTGAAGATTACTAGTCATGCGTAATTGAGAATTGGATTGACATATTAGATATTAAGAATTATTTAGATAATGGAAAAATTATAAGTAATGAAGTATCTGAATTTAAATCTGAAATTGTTGAACAGGTTACTCATCTAGCTGAGGATCCGTTAGCAAAATAGGATTTATTAGAATTATTTGATGATATATTGAAAGCTCCTATCTCTTTTATCTTCTAGTAAATACAGTGCCTAGGAGAAAATTCTCATGATTTTTAACAGGTGATTTTTTTTCTAATATTCAGTGAACATTCTTAATTTAATATTCACCTTAAATAGCATTAAAATTAGGGATTCTAATCGGTCTCAACTGGTCCCAAAGAATTGTTCATTTAAGAGATAATTTTTATAAAAAAAATTTTATAAATCGTATTACATGACGTCTTCTAATAACTGTAATAGTAAAAGTTTTTATACCTAAACTTTAAATCATAAAAGTTTTTATTAAGAAGTAAAAAAAGGAAATATATATATATCTGTCTGTATAGTGTGAAGCAGAAGGAGCTGATGGTATGCATTGCTGATGTAGCAGATACAAGTTTTAAAACAGTATAAATTTAGAGAACTTTGACCTGATATTATATTAGTAATTAAGTATTAAAATAGCATTATAACAATAAATCATTATAATAAGTAATTATATTCAAATATCAAATATGTTACGATAAAAGTTGAAACTAATATTAAGTTACAGCTCTATTTAGTTTTCAGGTTGACTTATTGTTATGCATACTTAGTTTTAGCAGGTTAAAGGTTACACTCATTATTTCATGAATAGTAAAATTTTTAAATACTTGAAACGTTTATATCGATATAAGTGCAGAAGGAAACATTTATGTAAATATTTATATTATCAACTATGGCAAACTTAACCCTGAAAAATTATAATTTTAAATATATATTATATAATAAATACTTATATATAATAATAGCTCACCGCTTTGCTAATAGTCTAGTTTTCTATTATAAATTATATCTAATAAGTAAAAAGAGTAGTTCTACTTGTACTCATAAATATAATACATACGTACCTAATATAATTAAATAAATAAAAAATTGTTAATATCTTAAAATTTCACAATGTAGGTTCTTAAACAAAGTATTCAATGCTTAAATTTATATATATATAAACACACTTTAATCCTAACCTGTTAACTTTAGAGTTTTTTTTTTATGTCAAGTACCATGCTTTTAGGTAAATATTGTAATTTTTCTAATGTTAAGATAAATTAAATTAATTATATGCATTAATCTACAGGTTACTATTATTTAAAATAAACGATTTTAATAGATTATATAGTTATTATTTATTTGAGATTATTTATTCTTGATTTTAATTAGCTAAAAGATATTAAATTTGTAGTCAATAAATATTAAATAACTCTCATAGGTTATTTGAAATTTGAAATGACCCAGTAACCAGTCATTAGTCATTTAGGTCATTTGGGTCATTTAAAGTCATTTACCATCTCTGAATATAAGTATATAATTTACAATATCAGAATACAAGTCAAGTATATATAGTACTTCAAATCTTAGACCTGGATTTATCCTGTTAGCTATACTACCTAGAAACTAACTATTATAAATTATACTGTAACTTTTGGTATTAGTATAGCTGAGAATTCTATGCTAGATCTTATTCTCAACAAACAATAACTATACACATAGAATTAATTAGTAGCTTTACCTATTCTAAAGCTAAAGTAGTAGCATATGATATCATATTTAGTTACTGATATAATACTTCTATAGAAAACCTTAAAAATATTGTTAAAACCTTTTTAAATAGATATACTCAATATATCCTACAAACCTACTTCTCTCTTAGCTTTGAAATCATAGTTTTTGACTTTTATATTGAATTTCAAGCTAGTTCTACTACTCTTAACCCCTATTTAAATAAAACTCTAATCGAAGTTTTAGAAGATCTTAGTTCTTCTATCTCTAATAAATATACTAGTAGTCTTGACTACTTCAAATATAGTTCTATAGTTAGTCAATACTCAATAGACTCAAATCAAGCTATAATTTCTGAAACTCAATTCTTATTTTTTTTAACCCTTTATAATGAAGACACTACTCAAATCCAATTTCTCTTATAAGATAGACAATGAACTTTAACTCCATCTCTAACTGATATTCTCTTTAGACTTCTTGTATATACTACTAACTCTTAATTTTTCTTTATTCTTTTTACTAATACTTCTAATTAATGATATTTTAATTTTAATATCAACTTTCAAACTACTTTTACTAATCTCATTTATAAGTTTACTTTTACTATTACTTTATCAAATAGAAATCTTCTAATTCCTAGAAACTATCTTCAAGCAAACCTAGATTTTGATAATACTTCTCTATCATACCATACTCTACTATACTTTCTATCTTCTTATTAATCTTTTCAACCTACAAATCAATCTAATAAATTCTTTAACAGAATAATCCAAACTTTAGATAATCTAGAAATTGACAACATCTCTCTGAATAATTAGCATAACTAAAAGAAATATAATCTTAATAATTTTTTTAAAATAGAAAACAACAATTAAGAAATAGAAGATCCAAAAGACTCAGACTATAAAACTATTCAAACTAACGAATTAGAAGAAATAGATATAGCTGAATGAGCTTTACAAGATGCTATTATAGCTATAACTGAATTAGCTAGAGCTTTAGATACTAGTAGTAAAAAAACTTTGTTTAAAATCAAATCTTTCTGAGATGATGGAACTCAGAATCCTATAACTTAGTTAAAAAGTTTTAAACAAGCAGCTAAGGCTAATAGATAAACTATTACATAACAACTTAAACTTGTATCTGCTTACTTTACTAACAATACTCAGAAATAGCTTCAAAGTCTAGCTAATACTTCTACTTATTTTAAACATTAATAGTATAAGCAAAGGTTAATGAACAGGATATTTACAGTTTTTATCATCTGTTTAGAAAAAGATTTTATATTACTTAACAAAAAGCTACTTAGCAGAAATAGCTCTTTGCTATATAATAAGGCTTAGATACTGTTGATATCTATATTAACAAATTTAAGCAATTAAAAGAACAATTAGATCCAGAAGATAATTTTCTAGTTACTTTTCTAATTCAACTCTTTATTCAAAAACTTCAATCTGAATATTCAGTAAATGTTTAAGCCTCAGAACTAGCAAATCTAACAGTAGTGATAATTACTACTTGATGATAGGAAACTAAAAAACTTATAGCCTCTAATACTAGTTCTAATACTGATAAAGCTATTAAACAACTTACTAAACAAATAGCAGAGTTAAGTATTAACCTTGCTAAGAAACGGACTAACTTTATTTCTAAACTAATCTACTACTCAAATAACTCTAATAGATATAGATTTGATAACAATAATTAGCAAGATGCTACTTGCTATTATTATAGAAGCAAAAGATATTATATTAAGGATTGTTATAAATAAAAAGAAGATTTGTAACATAATTTGTACTCTAATTTTCGACCTAGTTACTACAATAGTTTACATTCTAACAACAACTATAAATCTAATAATTGAAAGAATAATGATTACTATTATGATTGCTCTCAATCTTGAGAAAAAAATAGATCATGTGATAATAGTAAATACTATTACAATTCTAGGTATAATAAAAGAAATAGAAGCTAAGAAAGAAGTCATTCAAAAGATAGATATAGAAATCAAAATAGAGATAACAATAGCAGAAGCAAATCTAGAAGCTGATCCTCTACTCCTTATCTCAGAAGCCTATTCAGTTAACTTTATTAATAATTATAATTTTGAATGGTTTAAATTATATTTCTTTAACGAGTTAATACAAACTGCTATAGAAACCTATTTTGCTACTCTCTACTAACATTATCCAGACCTCAACTCATATCATACCTATAAAATACAATATTAAAATTAAGAATAAACCCTATTAGACTATAATTAATAGTGATACTTCATACTGGTTAAATGAATTTATATTAGTATAATATTATAACCTATTGGCATAATAATATTCCTAATATGATACTAATTTTAAACAAATATTTAGCTTGAATAGGATATCTTTTAGTGATAAATTAAATTTAAAAAAATCGATAGAGCTATTAGCATATCAATAGAGCTATTGGCATGCTGATATAACTATTAAATAAATATTAGTTTATCATGATATTTAACTGATAGCTATATTAGCATACCAATAGCTCTATTGATTTTTTTAAATCCGATTTATTACTAAAAGGTATTCTATTCAAGCTAAATATCTGTTTAAAATTAGTCTTATATCAGAATATTAATATGCCAATAGGTCACTAGTATAAATTCATTTGACTAGTATTAATTAGTATAATCTCATATCAAATTATTAAAGAATTAGGACTTAAGATAGATACTTGCTCTTCTAGCTTAATTGTATTAGCTACTAGACCCTCTATTAGATCTTTAAAGATAATTAAAAGCCTTCCTATAGAAATTGAAGAAATAACTATTCTTTTAAATATAGAAGTAATAGATACTACTTCTTATTCTCTTTTCCTAAGCAATGACTAGTCTTAGAAAGTCAAAACTACCTATAACTAGAAGAATAGTGCTTATATTCTAAAATAGAATAAACAGAAAATTCATATACCTATTACCTATAAACAATACCAACTCTTACCCACTCAACTTACTGTAAAGGAATAGTATGAATTAGATCAATTTAAACAAGAATTCCTATTTTAAAAAGAAGCTTATATTTTAATAGTTACAGGTTCAAAAACTAATAACCAATCTTGGATAACTCCAACTTCAAAACTCAGAAACAAATCCTTTTTAAATAATTAATACAAAAGATATAGAAATTGCTATTCAAATGAACATATCTTTGCAGACTACTCAGATAACTAATAAAATAGATATAAAAAACTAAAACATATCTCTAAATATTGCTCTCACAACCTATTAAAGCTAAACTACTGCAAAGTATGTAATAGTACTGAGTATCAATATGCTAATTGCCCTTATAACTATTGCTATTAATATGATAAATTTGGATATATCATATCTATTATCTTCTTGTTCCTCTCAAAAAGGATAATCAACAGTATAGATATAGATATAGCTAAGATAAAGTAGAAAACAG